TAAAATTAAATGATTAATTAAAATTTGGTCGATGATTTCATCTGCAATACCAAGAACAATGTCCAACTCTTTAAAATCAAGATACTGAATTTTTGATTTTCTAAATAAATTTTCCTTGGACCTCAGGACAATGGTAAAACAGATGTTCGATGGTCTCTTCTCGAATCTGGCAGAAGGAACACAAAGGGGAATGACTTTTTTCCTATTTTGAAAAGTAATTGTTTTGTAAACAGGATTCTATGAAAAATTTTGAATTGGAATTCACGTGTCTTTGTGTCAAGCGTACATCTATAGGGGATCGTGTAAATCTTTTGCCAATTAATTTCATGTACTGTAGTGTTGATGTAGTTTGCTTCAAATTTTTTTTGCGCTGTCGGAGGGGATATTTTCTTTGACAACACTATAGCATAAGCTTCCCTAGAACTTAGTTTAATCCTTTTTCCTACTTAAAGACCCATTGCCACTTACGGTGATGCATCACAATTTGTTTACATTTTGAATCGTGTCTCCACTGAAAAAACAATTCCAACATTTTGAATAAACTCTTAGATAGTCCCTAAAGCCGTAAAAGAATGTAAAAGAATAATTATTGTGCCTTAGTGCTATGTTGGAAAAGGATTTAATATGAAGTTATTTTTCAATATATGAATCTTTGAATTTCATGGACAACGAAATTCATCTGTGACCGCGGTGCATCACGGTAAGTGACAATGGGTCTTTAAGTATAAATTATAGCTTCATYTATTTGGAAAGGTTTAAAAGAAGTCTTATTAGCTGCGTAATTTTCTTTGACTATTTTAGGCCAAGCTGTCGGAATAGCATGTATTATTTGTCTAAGGTTGAACATTTCCAGGGGGCTTAAATGTGCAGCTTTTCCTAAAATTGGGGCGTGATTGTCGTAAAGATCCGCCTATTCTTGGTTTTCACTTACGTCATCATGCATTTCAAAAGCGTAAATTCGCATTATATAATGAAATAGAAGTTTCATAATCTTGTAAAGCGGTCAAAACTACATATTCCGACCAAATTTCGAGGCTGTAAAGCTTTTCGTTGCTGATTTATAGGCGAGTAAGCATGACGCAATTTTTGGTTAAAATGTATGGAGCGGCCATCTTGGTGTTCCAAGTTGGTACACCATCATGGCGGATGAAATTTCAAAGGCTTAAGATGATTGAATATTTAATAATTTTGACTATATTTCACTTAAATATACTTTAAATAGATATTTAAAACGTGTCTAAGGGAAAATCCTTCAACTAGAGTAATTTTTTTGACTATTTTGATCGCTATATAGATAGACGTGACGGTATTGCGTGACACAAACTCAACCTTCATAA